CTTTATTCAATGATAATTTAACTGAAATTATCAATAATTTACAAGAATTATTTACAATATATTCCCCCTTAGAAAATTAAAGAATATCAAAACCAAAATTATTATCGCAGGATTATTTTCTTAATTTACTTAATCAAAGTAATCATTAAGAAATGACATGTGATGAATTAGATAGATATTAAAATTTCCTGGTAGATAGTAATGCTAATCCTTTAAATTGGTAGAAAAGTAATAAAAAAAACTATCCGATATTATCACAAATAGCTAAGGATTATTTAACAATTCAATCAATGTCAGTTCCATCAGAAAGGGCCTTTTCGATTTCAGGTTTAGCTATTTTAAAAATCAGAAATAGGTTAAATTCAGAAACGGCAAGGGCAATTATTTGTATGAAAAATTGGATTTCAGAAAAAAAGAGAATTAAAAAATTATAACAACAAAATATATTTTTTTGTTATAGATTTTATAGATTTAGATTTAATGTTTTTTTGTCAATTTTTGATAATAAAATTTTGTATTTTTGGTTTTTTTTTGATTTTTTTTATTAAATAAAATAATTGCGATATTTGGTGATATTATTTTTGTTAATATTTTTACACTTCAGTCTAGACTACAATTAAAACTAGTTCGATTTTACTCTTAGACCGTCGAAAATTGAACTGAAACTGAACTGATTGAACAATTAACATCTATCTCTAGGGAACTGAACGTTTGACATTTCACAAATTTTAGAATGTAATTTTACGCTCACCTATCCTATGTAGTATTTATCGAATCTACTTCTAAACCTTGAGTTTCTATTTATAAAATTCAATTTTTTAATTCCTATTAATTGGTCCTAATCGAATTTTTTTATGAAAAAATACTTTTTAATTAAACAATTAAATTTTTATGGTTTAAGGTATTATTATCCTATCAATTTAACATTCTTTATTTTTTTTAAAAAAAAATTTTCTTTTTTTTAAATTACTTTTTTTGGATTTGAGTATTTTTGAGAATAAAATATTTTTTTATTTATTTTTATTTACTTCATTTTTTTTACTTTTCTGTTCTTTCATAATGATCAAATGGATCAAAATGTTATTTTCGATATTTTTTTTAAAAATTATATTAAAAATATCCTTTATTGCTCTTTTAGTTACTTTCAGCTTGGATTATTTTAAAAGTACGTAATATGTTTTTTTTTTATTTTTTTGGTTCTGTTATTTTTAAATTTAACATATTTTCTTTTACTTTTGGGTTTGATCGTGACAAATACTTTATTTCTTATTTTCATAGTTCTTTTTTACATTAAATCACTTAGGAAAGAATAGGTAATTTTTTTTCCATTTCTTTTTATTAGAAAATATTCTTTTTCTCTATAAATTTATCTTATTTTATTTTTTATTTTATAGTTTCTTTACATTTGGATTGAAGATCATATCTTAATTTTTTTTATAATTTTTATTTTTTTATTTTATTTTTTTTCTCGAATTAAATAAGAAATATGTTGAAATATCGAAAGTCAAATGATGAAATTATATTATTAATTTTAATCAATAATATAAAAATTGGATCAATTAATTTTCAAATATAAAAATCAAAGTTCATATCTTTTCATATTGGTTCAAAAAGCATACAGTTGCTGTGAAAAATAAACAATTGTCAATGAAATAAATAAAAAAATATTTTTAATGTATTATATCAGGTTTGTTATAATTTAAGTTTCAGCTTTTACCTAATTTGAAATCATTTTTTTGTTAAGAATGATAAGATCTAAATTTACATATTTTGTGCCTAATAAACTACAATTGAGAAAAGTTTTAGTCAAATTGCAGAACCATCATTAATTACTTTGATAAGCAGATTATTGCAAATAAAAAACAATTACTCAGTACTGCTTGCTTCGTAACTATTAATTACTTACATAGAAAAAAGATATTCAAAAAAATATAAATAAAAAAATCAATAAAGACAAGACGAAAAAAAAATGATTAATTTTAAAGATATATAAAAACACCTAAAAAAATTGTATTTTTATCAAATTTGAAAAAAAATTTTTAGCTTATAATTTTAATTATTTATGCTGTTCAAATTCATTATCACCATGATGAAGTTTTTACACACACAAACTACACAAACTTATAATAAAATTTATTATTTATCTCAGCAATATGTACAATATGTACTATTATGTTATTGTTATACCTAAAGATAGTTCCTATAATTATTTTTAAAATTTTTAACTAGTTGCAACTTAAGTTGCAATAATTTGAGTTGCAACATTTTATGAATTTTTATATTAAAATAAATTTACAGAAGTTGCAACTCAAGTTGCAACTTACCGAGTTACAACTTCTTAATTATAATACCTATCTTTAGTTATACCAGATATAATTTGGAATTGAAAAAAAAAATAAATTTTAAAATTATATTTTTCATAACTAATTTTTTTGTTTGCAAAACCCTCATTCCTTATAAAAAAAAGTTGTACATATTTCGTACTAATTTCGTACAAGTGTATACTGAAATCATACAGTTTTTATGTAATTATTTCAATTTTCCATACAAAAATAATTGTATAGAAATTTTAACATAGAGAAATCGTATAGAAAAAAAATTTAAAATTTGAAGTATATAAAAATTGTGCTGAAATTGTATTGAAAAATTAAAACATACAGATTTTATATAGTTTAGTATTTTATCGACGTATGGAAAATTTAATATTACTAAAAGTGGGTAAATTAAATTAATTAATTTTTTACAAAAATTGCAAATAATAACAAACTGAGCTTTAAAACCTTTCTTAGTGTTAAAAGTAAACTTGCAGAGCAGATAAAAATACTATTTATGATAATAAATTTAAGCTAAAAAATTATCATACAAAAACTATATCGATTAGTACAGTTGATTTTCCTAATTCAGATATTGTAGGAAAAATGTGATAAAAATTTGACTGTACAGATACTAGGGTTATTTCATGTTTTGACATCTTGCACTGTCCGAAAATTGTAGTGTTTTTTTTGGTACAAAAGCTACACAAAAACTGTATGGGATTTTTTTCATAGGGATTTCAAATATATCAATACTTTATTTAATCAGTAATTTATCTTTTTTGAAGAAAGATAAGAACTTTGATTGGCTGGATATATAAACTTACGCTTATTATCAATAACTTCTGAATTTCAAAATATTGTTAATTTTCTAAGATTAAGTGATTTTATCACAGTGATAGAGCGGAGATTAAAATAAAACTTTATATGAGGTAACAATACGATTTATCATATATTATATAACACTTTACGCAAATATCTTTTTAGTATGAAAATGTCAAGTCTATATAATGATACAATTTCGTATTTCATCTAGTACAAGCCTTACTATCCCTACTACTATAATCCAGAGGTGGGTAGATATATGCAACTGTTTTCCTATCCATTTTTTAATTCTAAACCCATAACTTACAATTAAAAAAAAGAAAAAGAAAATATAATCTATAAAATGTTATCTTTTATATTTTGTCTGAACTAGTTGCTGTCACAATATGCAATCAACTATATTTCGGTTGAGAAAAGATTGTCTTAATCAAGCCAGGAACATCTTACTTGCATCCCAAGAGGAAAAAATAGATGCGAACAAGGATATGAAGCCAATAATTATCAATCACTTAAATCCTACATCAAGTATCACAAAACTGAGCGAAAGCTTCCTGTTAGCATTCATTTGATCGATGGAAAATTATAGCTTACGAAGTATCTCTCTCACTACATAGAGTGATAGCAGGCAAAATTGCAGTCTTGATACATTCCTAAAATAATCAATTAGTTGGCGCAAGTGTAGAGGATTTTATTGTGAGACTGAATAGTTATTATACTGCTGATCTTACCATCTGACCAAAAGATCTTTCTAAAGCTCCAGCTGGCCAGGGATCTAATTCATAGGTGAGCATACTCAACATTGATTATTGAGGTTGGAAGAATTGAGACTATTCCTAGCTTGCATGGTCTTTCAACAGGTTATTTTTCTTCACGAACAACCATTCAAATTTATATTGGGATCAAATTATTTCCAAGTGACAGGATGATACAAAGGTAATGCTCACACTATATTACCTACGTACAAATCAAATAATACAGTGCCAGATATCATATCTTTTGGCACTGCACCTCTCCATTATAATACAATAGATTTTCTTACAAATTCTGTTGGTATTCCAATTGCTAACATTACTGGCTTCAGGTTCTCAACAACTGCTTACAATGCTTCCGGTATTCCAAATTATCAATTGCATATTCCTGCCATTGAACTTTTTAATGGTTCTCTTAGTGGCATTCCAGCTGGAACAATTAATGGATTTTACTTGAATTTATGGGAATTACAAAGTATAGTATTAAGGTTTTCCTAAATTTTATTTGTTACAATTAATGATGAAAAAAAATCCCCTGTTAAAATTATTATTGCATTAATATTTTTTTATTAAATTTTATAACGAGAATAAATAAAGTTTTCGCCTGCTTAACCGTCATTATTATAAATTTTT